CGTTAACTTTATTCCAAGCTACAAGTTTCACGTATAATTTAACAAGTTTATTTGCATCGGATAAATTATTTGACCGTCTGACAAATATGAATATTGTCAAAGGGGCGTAGCATTTTCAGCAATATGCCAAACCTCTGATTTAATATCTCCCTTTTCCGCTTTTACTGAAACGGGGAAACGGGACGCGCGGAGAGAAAATATCGGATATCATGAGCGAGGCACTTTTTGTGACAAAATATTCAGTAATATACAACAAAATGTAGACGCTTTCTCTTTTATCTATCTCTTTTTCGCGATATTATTCTGACAAGCTTTTATGTGTGATGCATTTGAAATAAGATAATATATAATGCAACATGTTTATTATAACACGGTGCTTTTCACGATTTCTAGTCGAATAAATATTTATGTTTCATTAATTAAAATGCAATTACAAATTGCGATTGTTATCAACTTTTTACAAACGTGTTCATTATATTAGCTATGCGCTATATACATACACAAAGAATGATATAAGTTTCACGAGATATAATAATTATACGCTAAATATAGTCGACTCAAGATAATTGCTCGCCGCTATCCAAAGTCGGCCGAACTTTATTAACATTTCTTCGAGATAAAATTTCGCGCTGCTGACGAAGCTCCGCAGTTATCCTGCAGTTATCCTGAACTTTTAACTGGATCCAAGTATCGTCGGTATCGCGGTAATATTCACTATTTCGTAACCGCTTAGTGTAAGCGACGTGGAAAGAAGCGCGATCTCTAATCTCGGTATCTTTCGATATGAAATTACCAAGTGGAATTCCCTTAAACGAGTTTGTATACCGGGTTGTATACCATAATTAAAAGCACGCGAAACAATTAAAAAGTCTTCGGTGGAAGCGATCGAATGCGTTGAGCGCAATTCCAGAAACTCGTGCGTAGGCCAGAGTAATTATTTTAATTACTTTAATCGCGTTTCGCTTAAATGGAATGAAACGTCCAATGGCGTTCTTTTGGATAATCGTTTTTTTCGAAAAACCGAAGAAGAGACCGGTCAATTATTTTTTTTTTTCTTTTGCCGACGATTACTTTGAAAGTCAAGACTCCCGAGAGAAAGAGAGCGCGCGCGTTCTTGCGCTTTTAACGAGTCCGGGCGTCTCTTACGCGGGAAATAGTTTAACGTCGTCCTCGCGTAGAGGACACTAACTGCTCGCACGAAACTCGTTCGTTACGATTCCGGGCGCGTGCCCCCGGAACGAAGTGAGCGCTATTTCTCGTAAATTTAATTTCCAAAGTGTCACGCGGAGAGAACAAGCGAAAGCGACGCGGATGCTACCGGCTACTGGCGGAAAGAGAGGAGAGCTCTGGAAGAGCNACTCCCGTCGCCGTTTGTCGGGACGTACGCTCGTTGCGATCGATGGACCGCCGTGTCCTTAAAAAAAGAAAAGCGACCAAAAATTCAGCCCATTTCCTCGCCGAACGTGAAAAGAGAGAATGGCGCACGAGCGCTTCAACAGAACAGAGGATGCAATTTTTTAGTAGCGTTATTTTAATCTCCAAGATTGTAGAAATATTTTGACGCATGCCTGTTCGCGCGCGATTCTATCGGTCTGACATAAAATTAAAAATTTCTCCCTTTACAATGCCATGAAAGATACAAGAAGTTAGCGCCTATTGTCTAAGTAGAACGCAGAAAAATTAGAGTAAAAAGCTTGAAATTGAAAAAACATAATAGAAAAAATAAACTCCTTCCAACTAGCTATGTTCCCTTCGTACAAACACTTTCGCGAAATCGCGATGTCGCTCACCTATCTACTTTAGCGAAATAGGTTGTTCAGTGTCCTCGTTGCGTTCTCCCCCGCAAACTCGTCGCGTAATAAAACGCATCCGCGCGACGTCAAGACGACTTTCGGCTGCGCAAACATACCGCGAAGCGTCGGCAAACACGTCCTTCGCTTACCGGAAATTACAGTTTGACGTTTAAACTTTTTGCGTTAGTTACTTGTATGCAAACTTGCCGATATCGATTGATTGCCGTGCAATTGAAAATTAACAGAGATCCTTCAAGTACCGCTTCAATTTACGTAGCTGTTAATTCTACGTCAATATCGCGTATGTCGAAGATAAAAATTATTTTTTTTTACAAAAAACTTAACCGGACGCGATTCCCTTTATATATTAAAATCCTGCATGCTTCTTTTTCCCGTAACATCCGTATATATAATATTTCTTTTGCCAGACGGGATCGAGATGGGGAAAGAAATATGAGACGAGGCAGCGAGAAGAACAATACACGTTTAAGTATCGGGTAAAAGCGACACGCAAACTCTCTCTGCACATTGTTCGACGATATTTCAGCGACGCTCGTTTCCATTTCGCAATAGCGTCAAATTACTAGAAACGACTCGTGAAAAGAACCCCCAGCCGCGCTGTAGCGATTCATAAAAGCTCGGGGCGCTGCGAGGTCGATGAAAAGCGGCGACTTCGAAAGGTATCAACGGCTGACCGCGGCACAAAGAAGCCCATATCCTGCCGCAGGAACAAAAAGCACTTTGGAGCTAAAAGCGCGCGTCGTCGTACGGTGGCGGCAAGTTATTTTTATAAAGTCGTTGGATATATAAACGTCGTAGCGACACAACAATCGCGTACGCGTGAACGCTCAATTATCGAGCCTTCCGGCGTCACTTCAGGGACTAGGGGGAATTGTATACTAAATATACGCGAAATATATTGTATGTGAGATTAAAAAAAAAAAAATTATCAAATTTACAGCGAGGTACGATTGTAGATAAATACGGGAGAATTTTAGCGACAAAAAGAGATAATAAATTCAAAGAGATAATAAATTTTGCACAGACATTCAAAATGTTATTTTTTAATCTATTGAATTTTTCGAGGTATTTTAATTTAATAGGATATTTATTTTCTTTTACATTCGCTTGTCAAAATGTTTAATGTTACAATTTTATTCGAGCTCTCGTACACGTTGTTCAAAAATCATCTCTAAATTCTTCGCGGAACTGAATGTCGGTATCGCGACAAAAACGTCACTTTATATAACGCATTCGCGTTTTCATTTTTGCAACGGCGATAATTTAGTGCGGCTTTTTGCATGTACCGGCAAAATCGAAATGACAAAAGTATGAAACATTATATTTGCATGCAGAAAAGGGATGTACATACACAGTGTGTACCATAGTGCACGAAATTTTGTATTCGAGCTTTCGTCTCGTCGCGACACGTCGTTGTAACGTTTCGTCCTGTCTCATCGTGCAGTGAAAAAGCGCGGAGAACATTTCAGACATCCTAGATATATATATATATAGGGGAGAGGAGAAGGGGTCGAAGAAATCACGGGGAAAGGTCGCGTTTCATCCACGAAGAGATAGCGCTGCTTCCTATCGGACGGGCCGGTTTTATCGTCTCTCGCTCGCTCCGCTCCGTCCGTCGAGAGAGGACAAAGAATCCTCGGGATAGGATTCACCGGAATAATCGCGGGGAAATTTATGAGAGCGGACGCGTTGGAAATTTCGGTCACGTAATGCGCTATCCGCCGTAACGATACCGCACGAGACAACGTAAAATCTCCGCTATCCGGCTAACGAAACTAATTCACCGTCCACCGCACACAAGCTTGTTTCCGCGCATTCGGTCGCACACGGCCAAGGTAATGGAACGTAATCTATTTATGTAACTGCCTTGCACTACGGTAAGCAAGTCGCGGATCGCGAAAAGTAGTTGCGACAGTATTCCCCTTGTGTCGCGCGACACGTCTTACTTCCAATTTTCATCCACGTAACTCTCACGCAAAGGAGTCGATCGATCGAGATCCAAAATTCTATTTATTCCGAGTGTAAAGTTGTGTATAAAGTTTGGCAATGTTAGCGCGTAATCTCACTTGAAAAAAAAAAAAAAAAAATTGAAATTTTACAATGCAATCGTAAAAGATATTCTTAACTATTTTTTCGCTTGTGAAAAAAAGAATTAAGACGCTTAGTTTGTAAAACAATGTATAAAACGCGCACCGTAACTTTATCATTTTTCTTAATTAATAATTAAATAATTCTTATTAATTCTTTATTAATTAAATAATTAATTAATATTCTTTCAAATATGCAACAGCGAACGGTATTTCCGTCTCCGAGCTTTTTCAGGAGTTTCGATACATGAATCGGCGTAGTTTTTTCAGGTAATCACGTATAACGACGATCGCGTGTTTCCGTCGTTCGGTTTTGTTGATTCAATGTAATTGTTCCACTGAGAACAAGGAAAATACCCATTTTAATAAACGCGCAAACTACCCTACGTTCGCACGCAGTATTTTCGCCCTCATATACCTGCGTAATAATACTTTAAATTGGCCTATTTCCGCAAACGAAGCCGCGCGCATAGAATAGAATTACCAATCACGCTGAGTCAATTTTACATACAATGCGAGAGACACGGCTCGTTAATTGCTTTCATTCGAAACCTTGGTTAAACGTCAGTATTGGACCGTAAAAAAGGAATATTTCACTGATAATTGTGTTTAAATTCTCCGCGACATTCTAGACGATATCTGCAAAATCTAAAAATCCGGTATGTGATTTTGCAAGTCATGAACTGTTTTATTTATCTCTCCTTAATTACTCTTAATTTCCAATTATTTCAGTCCAGACAATATTGGCATATAACATAAAAAAAAATTCTCTCTTGTCTGATAACTAATTTTGAAAGCACGTTCGAAACCCTTTCGTTTTCTCTCAGGCTCTGTCTATAAATGTGTTCTCTCGCATCTCGCAGAAAATACGCTGGTTTCCGCACACACGTCCTACCCCTTTATACAAGAGAAGCGTTCGCGCACTTCAGAGATAGGAGCAAAGATATGAGCGCCTTATCGACCGCTTTATCGAGGCACCTGAGCCCTTAACTGTGACCCCCTGTACCTGGCGCGGTCGTAGATAAAGGACTCTCTTTCCTCGGCTATAACGCGCGTTCCGGAGCAGGTGTATGGTAAAGGGAAAATTGCGAGTACTTACCTATACACGGTTACACGATGGCAGACTTGGCGCTCTGATGGCGGTCATGAATCTACCCTCGACATCGTTCCCCGTCGTATATACGCGCCGATCGAAGGTCACGCGCCGTCACTGAAGCACGTAGGGGCTTTGAGGATGAAAGCTTAGGCTTGTGTATGTGCGTGCGTGTATGCTCAGCTTACGAAGGCGATTACGTAACGTTCCGAAATTCGGGCGCATGCAAAACTCTGAAACAAAAACGGAAACAAAATATTAAAATAAAGTTTAAATTAATCAGGGAAGCAAGGATGACTGTTGAAAAAGATAAATATAAATGATACGATAGTATGAAAAATAATTTATTTCTTTTTAACTAATTTATTTTACACACGCGCGCATTCTTCCAACACTTTCCTGATATTGTAACATCATCTCGATAATATTACGCGCGTGAGTCTAACTTTCCAATTCGAATGTGAATCCCAAAGTTTCTCGTCCTGCAGAGAAGTGAAACACTATGCGATGCAATCGAAGAATCTATCCCGAGAGCGCGGGATGTGCAAACTTCTTTAGAGAGAACGACGTGGAAATCGTCGTTACGACCCGCTCGTGTAGAACCGGTTGCAACTTTTACGATCGCGCGAGAGTGTAACGCGTAGCGAAATGGAAAGGTAAGAGGGAGAATTTCTCTCTCTCCTTTCTCCTACATAGGATGCCCGCGTGTCACTCGGAGTTTGGAAGAAAACGCGGACTTTGAGAAAGAGGGAGCGTGACCGGCCTGCGAAACAGACTCACCCAAGTTTATTTCTCAGCGCGACCACCGTCCCGCTCACAAATCAACCGACACGGTAAATACCGTCCACCGCGGTGAGTATGCAAGGTGACAACCTTTGCTCGAATTCTGGTGCATAAAGCTACGTATAAAGTCGACGAGAAAAACTCAGCAATGAGTTTTCGAGTAATTTTCCAATTATACCGATTTTTGGTGCTTCCTGAGTCACATGTATTGTCAAAGTCAATAATTTTATTTATAACATATATTTCATGATATCTATAAAATCTCGTACACACAAAGATTGTTATTATCAAGAAAAAAGTTTAAAATACTCTACAGAACAAAGGAAAAATTGAGCAAATAAAAAGAACGAGAGGAAAAGTTAAGCAAAGTCGAAAATGATATCTTCGATCTTGATGTCGAATATTCTTTGTGCAGTAAAAATATTTAAAAAAATTTAGTATACTCTATTGTTTTACGACAAAAATTATACAATAGAAAGAGAGAGAAACAGAGAGTGGGAGCACATTTGCTTTCTCACAATCTTTCAATCACGTAGCGATATCGATTGACGATTCGATTAACTCCTCGGAAAAACAATGCTGAGTAACCCACGTCGTCGAGTCAATTCAATTTTGTGCAAAACGTTAGTGTTTTTCCGGGCCGAGTCGCGCTGATACGCTTCGTTTCCACTAATAAAATAATCGTGGCCGGACGACGAGAGTACGACGCGAGTGTGACAGCCAAGCGGTCGGTGAGGTGGATACCTGCCGTAGACGTCATCGGTGTTACGCGTGACCAGGTTACGGGATCAAGCTGCGAAGAGGTAGGAAGGGGGGATGGGGTTTATTTGTAGCGAGCGCGCGATTCGGTCACGAACTGGAAACGGCGGACTGCAGGCTTTCCCCGGTAATCCCGTTTCGGCCGTTGTTCCCGACTCGCGCGGATACTCGACCGGGTTGTATGGTCAAGTCGCGTTGCCGGTAAAAAAAACAACGCGGTTTGAAAAAAGGAAGAAAGCGAAAAAGAAATGAGTGAATAGAATGAAAGGGAGGTTTGGGGGGGCACTCTTTTAAACTCCACGGGTTTTTCGGGGTTAAGTGAGAAGTCGTGTAAAGACCACCACGGGAAGATCCGCGGTAGAAATTATCCGCCAGAGCACTATTCGGAGATAGAAGTAGATATGGGAGGTGACTCTGTAACTTTTTCGATATCTCATCGGTTTTTCCTCTCGGCAGCGAGTTTTGACAAATGAAAAGTCGCGCGAGCCGCGATTTAGATATGATATTAATTAATAGAATAGATATTTATCGTAGGATCGTGTATTTATGTGCGTGAATAATTATTTTTATTATTATCATTATTAGTAATATTATACACACACATACATTACTCTCCATATATTGGAGTGTTCTTATTAAATTTATAATTTATGGCATTGACAATATTATATTTACAGAAATCAATCATTATCTCGAAAGCAGAAAAACATCAAAGAGCTTTTTTTAATTTACACCTATTATTTATCTTTATTAACTTTGATTATAAATACTAAAAGTGTTGAATGCAATCAAAAGTGCCTTTTTATTAAGAGAAGCTCTCTGGCAGAAATTTAAATAGGTTGCATGAATATTAAATCATATTCTTTCGCTAGAAAATAAATGAATCGTTATTTGATGATGCTATCGCGTCGAATATAATCATATTATTTGTCAAGTTAGGCAAATATATTTGGATCGCAGCTTGTCGTAGCGATGGCAATCTATTTCGAGTAATTGGATATTCTTGATCCTTTAATCCGAGTAGATGCGACATCGAGAGAGAGAGAGAGAGAGAGAGAGAGAAAGAAGAGAGAGAGAGAGAAAAAGAAGAGAGAGAGAGAGATTATTCAGAAATTCTAAAAGTTTTTCGTATCACGATCGATGGATTTTAATCTCCAAATGCTGTAAAATAAACGAGGGCTAGGATTCGCGGAATAAAATGGGATGTTATCAAATCGACTGTATTGTTTTCAAATATTTTTTCACTTGACAATATTATAAATTAGATGCTTTTTCAACAATCATCGGAAAATCGGTGATATTTATTTGATTTTGCACTTTTAGCACGATAAAATAATTTTCGAAAGAAACAAACGATCGATACTTTGCAACGCGATCAACGCTTATCTTTTCCACTAAATTTTCTCCGCGCGACAAATATTGAAGCAGAAACGACGATTCGACCGTAACGGTTAATGATAACATTTTCTTTATTCATCGTAAATAATTTATCAACCATTTTGCTGCTCGCTTTATCGATCTTTCTCGCGTATATAAAGCACAGCGCCGGAAACTTATGGGGAATAATGGGAAATTTTCCGGGACGAAGAAAAGCAGATAAACTTGGTTAAGAAGAGGGGAAGAGTGAACGGCGGTGGGTCGCAAAGTCGAGAAGTTTACAACGACCGATAGAGGATCGGCAATTCAAATTGTTTCTCGGCGCGTTACCGTCGAGCGGCAGCGAGCGTTTCATCGTGTAACGCGATAGTTAAGATGATTTAACGCCGCGAGATTTCTCGTTACACCAGCTTCTTTCGTCAGGAGCGACGGAGTTTAAAGTTTCCCCAAAGTTAGCTTTTTGACACAGCGTCAATATTTTCCTGTTTATCGGCAAAGCTCGTGTGTTCCCTGATATACAATATACTGTATCTCTTAGGACCTTAAGAAACTGTTATCGGAGCGCGATTTCAAGCTCGTTGCGAGAGAGCGGAAGAAGGTCAACAGAGAGATAAGCTACAGGGGAAGAAGCGCAGGAAACAGATGGTCAAGGAATAAGGAGTCGCGAGATAGAGGAGACCGTCAGACGAATGGTGAAGGGTGGGAAGAGGGTGGAAGAGAGAGGGATGGAGGGCACCGGCGGAGAAACAGAGGCAAACGGAAACGAGGACTGCTCCTTGACGAAACTTTAGCGGTATCGCGGAACAGGAGATAGACTAGAAATGAGAGAGAGAGAGAGAGAGAGAGAGAGAGAGAGAGAGACGGTAAATAAATTTATGGGGAAAGTTAAAAGCATTGCAAGCTCAGCGGTGCAGCGTGTTGCCCCGAGCGCATTTATTTTTCATTTTTCTTTTACCACATCCCCTTCCAGCCACCACCAACTGCTCCCTCTTCCCCTCCATCCCCCTTCTCGCCAGCTGGTTCGCCGCGTTGCAGTTCCTGGGTACAACGGCCCGCATTCTTTCTATCTCTTTCTTTCTCCCTTTCTCTCTTTTTCTTTCGAGCTCGTCCAATGTGTCGTTTTTTGCAGCATTCGGACGGCAAATTGGGTTATATAGAAACGCGTTCTGACATCAGGAAGTCACTGCGTCCGGAGGGGGCTAATTAACCGCGTTTTGCGAGCCAGCTAATGTGAGACGCGTTTCGGTAACGAGATATACACAGCAAGACAGCCGCAGATTTCACAACCGCGAAATCCTCTCCTTGTTCATTCTTTCCTTCTTCCCTCACATTTTATTTACAATCTGCCTTTGCTCGGATTCGATAGAACGCACGCGGGGATGTGCATTAATGTTTCGGAAGAAAAAACTCTCTAGACCGTGTTTCTGTAAATTACATAAATTTCCATACAAGTGATTTATCATCTGGCCTTCCTGACCAGGGCTACGCGCTTACGTTAATCGGTGCATACAACGCACAGCTTCATCATGGCAATAATTTATGAGACGAGACTCCTCGCAAAAACACTCGATGCATGTGAGTGCTATCTCGCACACTCGGCACAAAAATGTTTCATTGATCCCGGAAATAACTCGCCGTGTCTTTCGTCCCTTTATGTCTACGAAGAAAATTCCGGCGCGGGCTACATTGATGAATTGCTCGCCGTATTCGCGATACCAGCGTGGAATCATGGGACCGATACGTTTCCGACGCTCGTAAACGCGATCGAGAGATACTCCCTATACGACTATCCGGCTATACGTTTTGCCGGTACAGTTTTGCCTCGCGAAAGCGCGCTTTGAATTTTGGAGATGCCGAAGACCCGACTTAACGACAAAACAATCTGGCAGGACAAAACAAATAAGATAATAGATCAGTTAATTATGGAGTTTGCTAGGGAGCAGCAAAGATCCGTTCTTGTTCGTGTTAAGTTTAGATTGTTCGACGTGAATTTCAAAGTTTAACCGCTGACCTATCGCCACTTCTGGAATAAAATTTGCACACGCGGGAGGTTGTCGTATAAATTGACTTGAAATTTAATAAAACATTCATCGAGCGATAATTTGAATACTTTCTTCGAGATGTTATGCTTATGTCGTAGAAGATTTGTCAAACGTAATGATTGACAATTTGATAGAAAATTTTCAAAGATTATAAAGATGTATTTCGAGTATTGAGAATAAAAATTTTATATAATTATATCAATATATGATATTCCATATTGACTTTAACGAGAGCTGCTTGAGATGAAAAGAATATTTTCAGAATATCGTCA